TGTTATACCCCCAGCCTTTTTTATTTTATTTTTTTTCCAATTTTATTTTGAGGCAGGGTCTCTCACTAAGATGCCCAGACTGGCTTCGAACTTGGGGTCCTCCTGCCTGAGCAGAACAGTTGGTATTACAGGCACACACCAGCATACCCAGCAAGCTCCTTTATTATCATTGACATCTCAGCTTAAAAATTGCCTCCCTGACTACATCAGCAAAGCTACTTGTTCTTGGCACCAGCCACTGTGGCATTATTTGGTTTAATTTTCCTCAGAATGCTTATCACTATATGAAGGGGCTTCCTTCATTTATTTATTCACATACATTGGTTTTTCTCCTTAACTAATGAAAAAAGGAATATGAAATGTTATATCATCAAGGAGGCTTTCCCTGACCACCCCCAAGTTAGGTCAGATCACTCTATTTCCACCTCCTCATGTAATTTTTCTTTTGCAACCCAACTTATGCTTTATAATTTATTTTCCAGTATCTATTTTTCACTATAAACTCCATGAAATATGGGCCACCGTGCACTGTCTTACTAATCAATGTATAGCTACCAATACCTAGAATGAAAAACACTCCATATCCTTTTAAACTTAGGATTAATTGGTGAATAAGAAAAGAATGAGAAACAAAAAGGCATATGCTAAAGCACCATCAAGAAAAGTACTAGGTGAGAATCCCCACAGAAAACGTGATGACCATGTAGAAAAAGGAAAGAAAAAAATAAAGAGCTTATTAGGACGTTATATTGATCATATGCTATTCAGTTTTATGAAGACTACTGGTTTTATTAAAGAATACAATAGACTTAGGACTTTACTCTTAATAAAATACATGCAGAAAATTAATTTTTTAAGTTTCAAATTTGTAATTTAAGCTGTATGCTTTGTAATTCAGTTTCAATAAATTTGGAACTTTAGAACTGCAATTCTTCCAAATTAATAGTTCAAGTATCAAAAGAATTCTGAATGGACATGAAAGAGATGCTGAAGACAAAAACAGAAAGCTATTTAGAAGAAATTTTACAAATAACATTAGAAACTGAAAACACATTCATGGAATAAAATCCTATTCTTTATTTAATAATCATGAAACTGCCTTTGGAAGGACTGTTAAAACAGCTTTTGTACTTCAAAGGTTTAGACTAACTTTTATGGAATATGGCTGATAATATTTAAAGTCCTTCTATATTCACAGTTCAAGTGAGATAATAGTATCCAAATAAATGCTATATTTTAGAAACTACATAACATTCCTTGTTAGTCAAATGGGTCTTAGAATTGTTTTCTTTATTCTCTTTAAGCATAAAAAAATTGAGGACTCTAATACTAGTGATTCTAACACTAGATATTCTTTATATTATCTAATATATATGAAACACATACTATAGTTGCCTGTTTCACAAGACAAAGGTGGTTCTAGAATTTGTGACCAAAGCCTAAATCTGATGCTGGAAGCCACAGCTATAACAAACCAGAAGCAGGTTGAAGCTGATCATTTAATTAAATTACAGTGGCCAGAAGCCACAAGAAACCAGCAGAGCAAGAAACCTCCATCAGCAGCAGCTCACAGGAAAACTATGAGCCTTGCTACAAAACAGATGCCAGTGGCAAGGCTGCACACAGAGAAGGACAGCTCTCTCTTTTTCTCAAAAGGCCCACTCTTTCTCAGAAAGGACTGATTGCAAATGATACAGAAGAGAGATCTGGATGCAGAAAGAAACTTGAAAATTTTACTCTAGCCAATTTTAGGCTTTCATTAAATTCAAAGGTTTTCCTATGACACAATAAGAGCACCATCACTTGGTAAAAACAAGAATAAGATGAACCTGTGTGCCTTGATATTTCAAATATTTTGCCTTTTAAAACATATATTATCTTGAATTTCATGGATCATGATTCACAGTAAGAAATATCTTTTACATCATAACCCAATAGACACACCATATGTGTGTGTGTGTGTGTGTGTGTGTGTGTGTGTGTGAAATAAAAAAAAAAAGTTCATGAAAGTTACCCATACTACATGGCAATAAATATGCTATTTCTACTTTATGTCAGATTTTGTTTTGCTTTGGTTTTTGTTTTTCTTGTTTTCACATTACTGGAGTTGACCTCATGGGTACCATACCACTGAGCTATATCACCAGTCTTTATTATTTTATTTTATTTTGAGACAAGTCTCCCTAAATTGCCCTGGCTGGCCTCGTACTTGCAATCTTCCTGCCTCCCAATTTGATGGGATTGCACTGAGTGACACCATTCTCACTTACCTCTTCTTTTTAATACGGCTATCCACCACAGATTGATTTCAGGGCAGGTCATTGGTCAGAACCCAGTAAAACATATTTGAAAAATAGTGCAACATGATCAAGTGGGGTTCATTCCAGGGATGCAAGGTTGGTTCAATGTACAGAAATCAATAAACATAATCCATCACATCAGTAGACTTAAAGATAAGAATCATATGATTATAACAATTGATTCAGAGAAAGCATCTGACAAAATACAGCACTTTTTTATGTTCAAAACACTAGAAAAACAAGGGATAGTAGGAACATACCTCAACATTGTAAAAGCAATCTATGCTAAACCCAAGGCCAACATCATCCTAAATGGAGAAAAATTGGAAGCATTCCCTCCAAAAATAGAAACAAGACAGGGATACCATCTTTTACCACTTTTATTCAATATAGTCTTTGAAACTCTAGCCAGAACAATTAGACAAATTAATAGGATACAAACGGTACAAGAAGAACTCAAACTATTTGCTGATGATATGATTCCACATTTGGAGGATCCAAAAAAAATCTCACCACAAAACTTCTAGAATTAATAAATGAATTCAGCAAAGTAGCAGGATATAAAATCAAATGCATTTCTATACATCAATGATAAATCTTCTGAAAGAGAAATTAGGAAAACTACCCCATTCACAGTAGCCTCAAAAAAAAAAAAAACCACTTGGGAATCAATCTATCAAAAGAAGTGAAAGACTTTTACAATGAAAACTACAGAACATTAAAGAAATTGAAGAAGACCTTAGAAGTTGGAAAGATCCCTCATGCTCTTAGATATGCAGAATCATTATTGTCAAAATGGCCATATTACCCAAAGCGCTGAACAGAGTCAATGTGATTCCAATTAAAATTCCAACGTCATTCTTTGTAGAAGCAGAAAAAACAATAATGAAATTCATTTGGAAAAATGAGACCCAGAATAGCCAAAAGAATCCTTAGCAAGAAGGGTGAAGCAGGAAGCATCACAATACCACACCTTAAACTATACTGCAAAGCATGGTATTGGCACCAAAGCAGACATGTAGAACAGTGGTATAGAACAGAAGACACAGAGACAAACTTATATGAATACAGTTATCTCATACTAGGCAAAGGCACCAAAAACATACCTTGGAGAAAAGATAGCCTCTTCAACAAATAGTGCTGGGAGAACTGGAAATCCATATGCAGCAAAATGAAACTAAATCCCTATCTCTCACCTGCACAAAACTCAACTCAAAGTGGATCAAGAACCTAGGTTTTAGACCAGAAACCCTATGCCTAATACAAGAAACAGTAGATTCTAAATCCTCATCATATCGGATTAGGCCCCAACTTCCTTAACAAGACTCCTAAAGCACAAGAAATAAAATCAAGAAACAATAAATGGGATGGATTCAAACTAAAAAGCTTCTTCTTGGTAAAAGAAATAAAGAGGTGAAGAGAGAGTCCACATTTTGGGAGCAAATTTTTGCCTCACTTATGTCACAGCATTATCTCCAGGATACATAAAGAACTCAAAAAACTTAACACTAAAAAAATAATAATAATAAATGGGCCAAGCAGCCGAACAGACACTTCTCAGAATACAATCGATGAATATATGAAAAAATGTTCAACATCTCCAGTAATTAGAGAAATGCAAATGAAAACTAAGATTTCATCTCACCCTAGTCGGAATGGCAGTTAACAAGAATACAAGCAACAATAAGTGTTGACGAAGATTTGAGGAAAAGGCACACTCTTAGATTGCTGGTAGAATTGCAAATTGGTGTAACCAATCTGGAAAGCAGTGTGGAGATTCCTCAGAAAACTGGGAATGGAACCACCATTTGACCCAGTTATCCCACTCCTCAATTTATACCCTAAAGACTTCAAAACAGCATACTATAGTAACACAGCCACATCAATGTTCATAGCAGCTCAATTCACAGCTAAACTATGGAAGCAACTTAGATGCCCTTTAATAGATGAATGGATTTAGAAACTGTGGTGTATACAAAACAGAATAAAAATTATGGAATTTGCAGGAAAATGGATGGAGTTGGAGAATATCATGCTAAGCAAAGAAAGCCAATTCAGAAAACCAAAGGTGGCAGGAAAGATGGTAGAATGAGATGGACATCATTACCATAGGTACATATTCGACTGCACTTTTGGTGTGATTCTACTTTGTACAACCAGAGAAATAACAAGTTGTGCTGCAATTGTGAACAATGAATTGAAATGCATTCTGTTGTCATGTGTAACAAATTAGAATACATATATATACATATACATATATATATGTATATATATATATATATATATATATATATATATATATATTTTAAATGCACACAGGAACCCTATTCCTGTTCATTCTCAGGAGCTTTCCAAATGATTCCTAGACACACCTAGAAGGTGGTGCGCTGACCAGGAGAGTGACGGGCACGTGCACCCATTGCGGGGGCCTTCCTGGCCTGGGAGCCGCGCCACCTGGGAGCGCAAGCTGCATCTAGGGGCCCTCAGAGTCACGCAGCTCACCGGGTGCGGAAAGCCCTGGCACCGGCGCCCTGCTGGGAGCGCCTCCCCTCGCCCTTCACTGCGCGCAGCAGTAGTCGAGACCCTGCGTAGGGCCGTGGTCGGATTCGGGGCACAGCCCGCGGGGCGAAGGTGCCGGGCCGGCTGGGGACGCTGCCAAACGCGACCCTGGAGCCATTCTTCTGGCTTCCCTGAACTCACCATGGCTACAGGATCTCAGGACGAAAACCGGCCGTGGCGACAGGAACACAGCATCACCAAGGCCGCCAACCGGTTACTCCGGCGACAGAGCCACGCCCATCCGGGCCCCGCGCTGGAAGCACCAAGACCTCAGTTCCGCCCAAGCAGCGGGTGGGCCTGCCCCTTCAGGTGTCGCCAGGGCAACGAAAGCGCCTTCTTCTTTCCTCCGTCCGCGTTCGATTGACAGATGACCCGGAAGTTCAAGCTAGTAAGCGGCTAGGCTCCATATATTGCTATGTTTTACTTTTAAATATGCTCCTGTGCACTTCTCGCTTACAGAGGTGTTACACTGTATTTTCAATGTCTCTCGAGTTTAAGCGCACCACAGAGTATTGTCTTTCTCTTCTGGAAAAGCCTTCCGGAAACGAAACCCTGACTAACCGGAAGTTGCGGGCGGGGCGCCCCGGGGCGCGTCAGGTGGGAGGGGAGCCGGTCGAGCGAGCCGGTGACGCGGAGCAACACGGCCTGCGACGTGGGGCCGCCCGGAGTCGGGAAAGAAGGATCTCGGCGCAAGTTCCTGAGCCGGCTTAGGTAACTATGGGAGGGCGCGGGGTTCTCGGTCGCGGGAGGAACGGGGGTCGACCTCCCGGGCCGGCCTGCGGTTGCGGGTCTCCTAAGTCCAGAGCCGGGGCCGCCGGCGAGAACGAGCCCGTCCAGTTGGGAAGCCGGTCAGGGGCCTCCGCGCTGCTTGGCGTCGAGTCCCGTCGGTGGCCTGGCGTGGCCACGCCGGCTGTCATCGAGCCTGCCGTCCGCCGCGTTGAGGGCCCCGCGAGCCCAGGGTAGTCCCGGGGCCTGTGCGGACGTGGCTGGAGGCGCGGTGTGCATCTTTGCCCTTAGGAACTGCACCATTTTGACTGTCTTACCAAAAAGGGGCAAACTGAATTATCTTGAGTAGTACTTTCGTTGCTTCTTAAACGTGTAAACGGATGCGCTCTGTGTCTCGGGGAATAAGTACTTTAAAATTCCTGTTGTCCTATCAGTGGTATAAAAGCTCTTGCAGTAACTTAAGCGTTTCCAAAATTCAAGACACACCTCTGGGCAGTTTAGATTGTACTGGTGAGGATGGTAAAACGGCATCTACAAGTAAACTATGCCGAATTTTTTTATCACCTGTGAGAAGGGAATGTGAAGAATATTTCCCTAAGTGCATGGGTTCTAAAAGCAGAAGTAATTAAAATACATATTTTTAACTACAGACACTTATCAACTGTGTTTATATGATATTTTAACTCTCTTCTGTGTATACGTTTTTAGGTTTATTCCCAGTGGAAGTCTTGAAATACATTTTCATTAAAGAAAAAAAAAATGACTACTCTTAAAAGTTTAGAAACCAAAGGTAAGTGTCCTTACTTTGATGGTACCTGTTTTTAAGACGTGAAATTTATGATATGAAGGAATGTTTCAGCCAGTTGAGTAAATCTCATAGATTCCTTGGGAATCATTTCTGTTTCAGATCTCTTCATGTTTAATTAGTAATTCAACTTTTATATTTCAGTACTTCAGATAAACCTTAACATCATTAGGTGGTATTTGTTGGATGATCACTTACTTTTAAAAGTTTAGTGTAACAAAACTGACTTGAACAATGTATTACCTATCCACTAGAAGATCAGGATTTAAATAAACAAAAATAAAGTATACCAGCAAGGCTACACTCTATGTAGGCATTAGGAAAAGATCTGGGTTCCTCTCCTTGGGGTTTGCACTCTTTGGTGCTCCTTGGCTTTTCCATCCTCGGTTTACGTGGAGTTCTCTCCATGTGCATTTTTCTGTATCCAACTTTCCCCTTTTATAAGGGCAGCAGTCATATTGGATAAGTGACCTACCCTACTCCTGTATGATTTCATCTTAACTATATTTGCATGATCCTTTTTCCAAATAAGGCCTCATTCTGAGGTACTGAGGTTAGGACTTCAGCATAAGTATTTGGGGGATACAGTTCTACCTATAGCACTTGCCATGTTCATTAGTCAGCTTGTAGTCCTGCTTTGCTTGTAATATTCTTAATCATTCCCTACCTTTTTTAATATTTTTATTTTGCTTATTTATTTTTATGTGGTGCTGAGGATCAAACCCAGTGCCTCACATGTGCAAGGCAAGCGCACTGCCACTGAGCCACAACCTCGGTCCCATTCCCTACCTTTTGAAATTCTTTCTTTCCATGACTTCCAAGCTACCACTGTGTTGTCAGTCTGCTCTTTACTGCCCAACACAGTAACCACATGTGACTATTTGAATTTAAATTAATATTTTTAAAAAATCAACATTTAGTTCTCAGTCATATTAGCTACAACTGTTTTAGTCAGCTTTTTTTTTTTTTCCTGCTGTACCAAAAGACCTAACCAGAACAATTGAGGTCTCAGTCCGTAGATAGCTGACCCCATTGCTGTCGCCCAGAGGTAAGGAAGCACATCATGGTGGAAGGTGTGGCAGAGGAAAACAGGTTATAACATGGAACCAGGAAGCAGAGAAAAAGAAAGAGATAGCTGTATTCTCCAGGGACAGAAATATATACCCCAAAGGCACACCCCCAACGACCTATCGCCTCCAGCCATGTGCTACCTGTTTAAAGTTACTACTCAATTCCTATCAAGGGATTAATACACTGATTAGGTTAAAAGTCTCAATCATTTCACTACTAAACTTTCTTGCATTGTCTCACACATGAGCATTTGGGAGATAGCTCATATCTAAACCATCACAGCCTCCAAGTACTTAGTAACCAAATGTGGCTGGTAACTATGATATTTCTATCATTGCCAAAATTATTTTGGATATTGCTGCTGTAGCAGTATCTTTTCTATTTTTCAGACTCCTCTCTGGTTTATGTTTTAAATATCAGTGTTTTTCAGCTCTCTTTCTCTTCTACTCTCAGAGTTTCTATGATTAATTATCTGTAAGAACAACTTCCAAATTTATCAGTAGCTCAGATCTCTCCTCTTGAGATTTAGAATTTTATAGACAACAATTATTTTTTTGTTAGATATAGACAACAATCTTGACATGTCCCAAAGTAAACTCCTGACCCAGCTCATTTTGGGAATAGAGTCAAGTTCTTCCTGCCAGATCCTTTAATAAGAGATAGGAAGCAGTTTTCTAGAAGCAAACTTTTCAGGAAGCATATTTCCAGTAGCAAACTCTATTTATTTCAGTCCTTAAAAAGGGATATAGTAGCTTAGTGGTTCAGCACTTGCCTAGCATGTGTGAGGCACTGGGTTCAATTCTCAGCACCACATATAAATAAAATAAAGGTACATTGACAACTAAAAACAATTTAAAAAAATAAAAGAAAAAAAGGATTCAGATATGTTCAGGAAACAACAAAGAAAGGTCACACTAATAAGTACTTAATTGAATTTAATACAGCTAGATGCAACAACTGTTCTTTTCACAAGTCACTAAAACAGCTTAAAAGTATTAGAATAAGTAAATCAAAGACTAATCAAAGTAATAAACTGAGAATAAATAGGAAATAAAAGCGATTAAAATGATAACTAATGTGAAAACAACTAGCATGGCATTTAGCAAAAATTATGATTAGTGATTAAAAGCTTGTTATTGCAGTGCCTCTGAAACTGTTATTTTTATTGTTATTTGTAATGAGGATTAGAGTTATAAAACAGCACTTTCATATACTTTATTTCATTTGATCTTAATTATCTAATAAGGAAGACAATCCAACTACTAGTGCTATTCCTACTTAATATAATGCTAACAGTGAACAAAAGTTACTTGTATTGCATGGCCTGAGAAGACGTGTACTTAGGTTTCACCTTGTCAGTTGTCTGCATATCTTGTACCTGCCTCAGGTGAGAAACATGGTTATGTTCTTGATCATTGGTTGTTTGGTATCATACTAGAACTTCCTCTCGGAAGACATATGAGCAATACTGACATCATTAGAGTGATATATCATTGCTGGTAGAGCTTTTCTAAGGGAAAATTCTGTCAGACTGTAACTGAGTTAGGAATTAATGGTTCAGCGTAAAGGAAAAACATAAGCACTTTTTAAAGGAATTAGTTATTGAACATACACCTGAAATCTTCCAAATGTGTGTAAAAGATTGATAAGCTTCATTAGCACTTACTCATTGTCTCCATGCCAACCACCATTTCTGTAACTAGTGATATAAAAAATAGGAAACATTTCTACCCTAAGAAGCTTTCAATAGTTTAGTCTGCAAGAGAAACAAATTATCCTAAAATACTGTAGTATTTCCCTTTTCTGAAAGCTCCAGGGGATGGGAAGAGGATGTAGTTGAGTGATTTATCCAGGTTTAAACAATACATAGCAATGGGGACTTTTACATTATTCTGACTCAGGGTCTGATGGCAGAGGGAACTTAAATTTTGATGCAGTCTGGTGTTCCTTCTCTCCCTGCTGACTCTTTTTGTTTGTTTATTTGTTGTGTTTTGTGGTTTTTTTTTTTATTGATTATCTTTCTCTGTAGATTCACAATGTTATGAATAAATGACAGTATTTGTTCAATGACAGATTGTAAAATCATACTTTTTGCCTAAATATTCTGGAGCAAGGATTGGCAAATGTGGCTCTTGGGCCTCCTTGAAAATGGTTGTGATCAGACTTGATGATAGGGAACAGTAACTTTGAGTTCCACATAAATCAGATGTTATCCTAAGTAAAAAGATTCCTGCTGTTTTCATAATTAAATCTATAGTACCAACTCTATTCCATAATCATTATAGTTTGAATTTCATCAATAATCATTGCTTTTTCTCTTTTGTGTTACATACCTAACTAGAATTCTTGCTTTTACTTCCTAATTCACAAAGCCTGAAATATTTATTCTCTGGCCCTTTACAAAAAATATTACCAACCTCTACTCTAAAATGTTAGACTAGCAACCTTATTTCTTATGTTCTTATATTTCACCAAAAAGAGTTGAGGCAATAAGAGTGAGGCATGAACTTTAGATATGATTTAGTTCACTGGTAAGTGTTCACAGGTGGAGGTAGTGTTGGTGAGTACCATAGTGGTGGTCTTGTTGATTCCCCTCAAAGAGTGCAGAAAAGCAAGGGATGGTGTTTTGCTTTACTCAAACATCACTCATAATTATGGAGGTGGTACCATAGGGTCTTGAGAGAAGGTAATTGCTCATGAATGTGCCTTAGATTGTGCCAGTACATATGTAATAAAGGTATCTATGTGTGTCACAGGGAAAATAGAATTATGAACGGTAAGCTACCAGATGAGAAAATGTCAAGCCCTGGCTCTCATTGCCAGCTTGCCCTTGCATGTTAGCTAGAATCAGTTGTGAGACAGAGCTGCCATGTGATAACGTAGCACAACCTTGATATTCATAAACCTTGAGTGAGTAGAACAATTCAAATAAAGTTAAGAA